ATCAGAGATTCAAATAGCAAGTTTTGTAGAGAATTCAATTCTCTATCGATTGAGCTTAGAACCAACTCTGTGGACTACCGGACAATGCCTCATGAACAACGAATGAAAGTGTCCGATTTTATCTGGGCCACCCGATATATATTCGGACTCCACTGAAAACAACACACTTTGCAGTAGAATTTGAGTCGTCACGACAATCAGTGTGATTTTTATAGGAGTTTGAAACAACTGAGAACATTTCTAATCAAATGGATAATTAACGTTCCTTCACTACCTGTGTTATCATGATCAACGCTCTCGATTGAATGGCGGAAGCGGATGCAATTATTTAATAAAATATAAACGGAAGATTATTCGTGTGTACTCTGTACTACGATTGACTTACTGTTTTTGCAGTAAATGAAACTTTTTTGAATAAAGCCTAGTTGATGATCTTACCATGTATTACTATTGGTCACGAGCAACTATCAAAATGTGGAGGTCCGAAGTGTTCGGGTTACCGATCATGTGGTCAGGACAAAAGAAATTCGCAGATATATAAAATAAATCGATGTTAGTCAAAATGAATCAACAGTTCCTATTTTGTTGGTTAATATTTATACATGGCGAGACGAACTATTGGATTTGAACAAACAAAAAATATTGAATCAATCTTCTGTGACCACTTGGAAAAACTACTATTAGCTTTTAAGTTTATACGGCTACCGTCTCATACGACAGTTTAAATTACGATTTGCCAATGTGAGGCAATTGTTCTCAATACAACAAAACAATTTTGAATAAAATCCTTTAAAAATTTGTACAGAACTGATGATGATGATAATAAGTCAGTAAGATTTTCGCTGATATTTACACATCTCACATTCTTATGCTACAACACACACGAAATTGCATGAAGTTTTCTGTTATGGTTCCTAGTGAGAATCACAATATGGAGTTCAAATGATTGTTCACGCACACAGAGAGCAGGACTCTTCTCATAAGTCGAAACTTTTTTGTATGCATAAGAAGTTCTCTTGGTTTGCTACTTTTAGATAAAGTTCTTAACATAAATTAAGCAATTACATTAGTTGTAGTAAGCCTTTTCTTTTTAAAAATGGCTCTCAATCGGCGACTACAACTAGCTTCTGGTAAAATTATAGTTATTTTTTTTAATTTTCTTCAAATACTGTTATTTCTTTTGTTTAGTATTAAAAGTTGGCAATCGTTATTTGGCGACCAATACACCGTCATCAAATACTCCACCACAATCACGTGAGGCTCCGCAACCAGCTAAAGTAACAGCCCCTCCACAAGCAGCACCAGCAGTAAAACCAAAAAAGGTAAGCGATTCTTTACTTGACATCTTTTGTTATATCACAATTACTATTTATATTACTGTATTATATTTTGTTTATTTTAGACACAATTTGGCCCATTGAAAGATGAGGATAGAATATTTACAAATCTGTATGGACGTCATGACTGGCATTTGAAAGGTGCATTGTCACGAGTAAGTTTTGTTCTCTAGTTCTGCAAGCCTATCATTATTAAAAATTTCTATGTTTAGGGTGATTGGTACAAAACGAAGGAAATTGTATTGAAAGGAACAAATTGGATAATAGATGAAGTAAAAAAAAGTGGTTTGAGAGGTCGAGGTACGAACGTTTTTCTTTTGTTTATTAAGAAACAGTTAGCTAAAATGTTTTTTGTCTCGTATAGGTGGAGCTGGATTTCCATCTGGATTAAAATGGAGTTTTATGAATAAACCATCTGATGGTAGACCAAAATATTTGGTTATTAATGCAGATGAGGGTGAACCGGGTACATGTAAAGATCGTGAAATAATGAGACATGACCCACATAAACTACTTGAAGGATGTTTAATTGCTGGCAAAGCAATGGGTGCACGAGCTGGTAAAAATTAGAATGTTGATCGAACTAGAACATTCTTTGTCTTCTTCTAATTGTTTAGCCTATATTTATATACGTGGTGAATTTTATAATGAAGGTTCAAATGTACAAGTTGCTATTCAAGAGGTAAATATAATATAAATAATGGACATCAGTGTTTTTTGCATAAAATCGTCTTGTTTTCATACATTAGGCTTATAAAGCCGGTCTACTTGGAAAAAATGCATGTGGCACAGGTTATGATTTTGATATCTTTATGCATCGTGGAGCCGGTGCCTATATTTGTGGAGAGGAAACAGTGAGTTCTTATTTATTGAAAATCTTTCTAATTCTATACTGATTTTAGTGCTTCTTAGGCATTAATTGAATCTTTAGAAGGAAAACAAGGAAAGCCTCGACTGAAACCCCCATTTCCAGCTGATATCGGTTTGTTTGGATGTCCTACAACGGTGACTAATGTTGAAACAGTAGCTGTTGCTCCAGCTATATGTCGACGTGGCGGCGAATGGTTTGCATCATTTGGGAGGGAAAGAAATCACGGAACGAAAGTGAGAAGAGAAATTGTAATTTGTGCGCTTATTTTATTTTCGTATCTATTTTGTTTCAGCTATTTTGTATTAGTGGACATGTGAATAACCCCGTCACTGTTGAAGAAGAAATGTCCATTCCACTACGAGAGTTAATTGAACGTCATGCGGGTGGTGTAACAGGAGGATGGGATAATCTTTTAGCAATTATACCAGGCGGATCATCTGTACCGTTGTTACCAAAACAGTGAGTATAAATAGAACGGGCTCATTTTAATCCGCTGTTCGCAATATTATCCTCATTTTCCTTTTGAGCAACTTTCACAAATACATCAACTATAAATATAGTATATCAATGGATTTGGCGTTGTAGATCTCTTCTCTCTCTCAGATTGCTGGTTGAAGATCTCTCAAAAACTAGGACACAGCATTTTCTAGTTGTAGTATATAAGATTAGAGGCGTTTTTTGGTTCGTGTGAAATTCAGTTTAATCATTCAGTTTTCTTGTTTAGTATTTGTGATGATGTTATGATGGATTTTGATGCTTTGGTAGCTGTTCAGTCTGGTCTAGGTACTGCAGCTGTTATTGTTATGAATAAATCAACAGATGTAATCAAAGCTATTGCGCGTTTATCACTGTTTTATAAACATGAATCGTGTGGACAGGTATAGGATCTTTGACGTATCATCATCTCTTTTTCACTGCGTCTATTTTCGTTATTTGTAGTGTACACCATGCAGAGAAGGAACAGGATGGTTAGCAAAAATGATGTATCGTTTTGGTATATTCTGTTTTCTTTCCATTCTAGTATAGAATAGAGTAGAGCCCTGCAGGTGAAGTCCAACCCAACCTAACCTATAGGTTAGCTAAGATTTAGTTTGAGAGATTAATAGGTTAGGTAAGGTTATATGTTATGTTGATAACTAATTTTTAACCTAAACAAAAAATAAATTTGAGCGACACACTGGAATACTCAATACTTCGAGGATAAAGCGTAATTTTATTGGACCAAGTAACTGAGTGGTACAAATTTTGCATACGTTCAGCCTTTTTCTTTCTCTTTTTTTTGGTCCCGATCTCAGAATCTCTTCTTATCTCTCTGTTTCGTACACTACTAGTTTACTTCTTTTTTTTTAATTTTATTTCTCTATTTATAGTTTCTTCTGTCGTTGTTTGGCTCGAGTCATTATTATTATAGATCGGGGACTTTTGATGACTCTCACTTTTCGTGAATAAAATACTACTTCTACTACTACGAAAAAATTTATATTTAAGTATGGAAAAAAGGTAAATTTTTCGCTGGTTTACGAAATTGTCAAAAAATATCCTTGATTCGAGTCCCGATCAAAATGTTTTTTAGTCTCGGTCTCGGTTCCGGTTCCATTCCTTTCGAGATCGAGACCGGCACGGTCCCGCCCATGTCTACTTAAGGTATCTTTGATAAAATTTTGATTTATGTTCTCTAATTTAAATTTAAACTGAGCTAATAAGAGTGAAAGATGTCAGAATCGAAAAAGAAAATGGAAGAGAAAAAAAATTCTATGTGCGTTAAAAGTTGGTGAATATACAATGATAACAGAACCAACGTCCGAGCGTCTGTTCAGCGCAAGCAGTCGTGTATTAGAACAAAGAAGGCAATCTTTAAATGATAATGTTCTAGAGGATCTTTCGTTTTTATATAATTTTAAAAAAATAAGATTTTTGTTTTTGGTTGCTTGTTCCAGAAAAAGTCACACAAGTTAAATTAGGTTAATCTAGGTTAGGTTATAGGTTGCCAAAAAGTCATAACCTGCAGTGCTTTAGTATAGAGCTTTCACCTTATTCGTTTTTAGATAGATTTGTAGTAGTATTTGATTTGAACATTGATGTTTTTTAGTTGATGGTAATGCTCGTCCAGAAGAAATCGATATGATTTGGGAATTATCAAAACAGATTGAAGGACACACAATTTGTGCCTTAGGTGATGCGGCTGCTTGGCCAGTACAGGTATAATCAAACACATATTAAATATTGAATATTAAGCTTAGGTTTTACTTTCTAGGGACTTATTCGTCATTTTCGTCCAGAAATGGAACGACGAATGAAAGAATATCATGAAAATACACAATCGAAAAAAGCTATCGCCCATTCTGCTTCACATTAAATTCATCGGTTCATCACACTACCGTTACGATATATCTCAATAGGATGAACGTGCCAGTCTAGAAATTTTGCGTTCATACACTTGACTCTCATTTAAATTTTTATTTAAAATTTAAGACTTAATTTTCCGTTTTTGTCTGTTTTCTGTTATCTTTTTTTAATTAGAAAAAAGTTTGTTTGTACAGAGTTTTTTACATAGATATATAATCACAACACAACGATAAAATTTTATTTTCTACAAAATAAACACAAAACAAAATTTTTTATTCAGTTGAAATGTTAAATATATATTTTTTGCATAAAAATACTTAAGATGATAAAAATACATCGCAATTACACAAAATTAAGTAAATTGGAAAACGTACTATATGTGGATAGAAAATAAATAATCAAAAAAAGGTAATTTGATCATATTTTTCGAGAAAATGATATTATTATTAACCATCTATTGGTTAGTGACAGTCGTCGATGGAAAAACTGGAATAGTATAAGTATGTATTAAACGAGACTTTTAGTTTTCATTCGTATTATCGTTTTAGTAATAGAAGAGTCAATCTCTAAAAATAAGTTTTGTTATGTTACTTGAAATTTCTTATTTAAAGGATGTTCATTTCAGGCTCATTTTTATAATCTGAAATGCTGCTTTGAGATATTATCATAAGACAGAACGGAGAATAGTCATGATAGAATAATTCATTTTCGATTTCTTCGCTTTTAATTCTTTTATGAATGAAGAACAAGAACATGCGGCTATTTTCCTTTTCGGAAACGATGATGCTATGGAATTTGCAGAACTAAAACTACTATCCATTTCAAATTAAGGCATTCGGATGTTTCTTGAATAACTTCTGAAGGGAAAGAGCTGGAAACGTACGATTATCAGTAATCCGTAGAGGAAACCGGGAGACATGATTCTGTGGAAAAAAATGTGATTAAGGCTAAAGGTCTACTTCGGGTGCACCTTTCGATTGAAAATCTAGAACATCCGACTTCTATCAAAAATGTTTCAGACTTTTGATTCTGAGGTGTGAATTCGATCCAGCGAACTGTCCTCTTTAATTCTACGTATCTTGCAATCCTCCATCTACCACAGTTCTGCCACTATAAGGTTTTTCTGAGGACCTACGTATCGGCTAAACGTCATGTTTGAGAACTCTCAAAACAACTCTCAAATAATCCATTTTTGCCTGTTTTCACGTAAACAGAATCAAAAATCTGAAACGTTTTTGGTGGAAGTCAGATGTTCTAGATTTTCAGTCGAAAGGTGCACCCGAAGTAGACCTTTAGCCTTAATCACATTTTTTTCACAGAATTTGTGAAAAAGTCCGCGGAAAGATCTGCGGTGTCCTCTATAGATTATCAACAATCGTAAGTTTCCACCCCCCCTCAGAAGTTAATCAAGAAACATCCGAATGCCTTAATTTTGAAATGGATAGTACTTGTTATTTTAGCTTTTAACCAGAATTCTCTCAAAAATAATTTCTACACTGTGCAACCGATTTGCACGAAATTTTGGTGGATGAGATATGATGGCATGAAAAGCTTATGATAGAAAATGTTTACCAAAAGATTGAGTTGCTTTTCTTTTCTGATGGTGCTCGAGATTCTTTTATGTTTATCCATCTAACACCAAACAAGAGTAAAGAAGAATAGAAAAGAGTAATAGAGAGAGAGAACGAATATACAAAAAACTAAAAGAAAAAAAATATAGAACGGATGCGTAGCTTAAAAACAAATAATTTATGAATGAATATAAATATCGCTTTAAGTTGTACATGTTTCGTCAGATCAAAAGAAAAATAGTTATCCTTTTTACACAAAAAAATCAATTGATCAGATCTATAAAAATTAATTGCTGGAATTTTAATTTTTATCATTCGATTACTATCAAGTTATTTTTAATGTTGTTTTATTTGGATTGACTGTTGATAATAAATTAGAATCAACAGCTACAATAACATTTAGAACAATATTAACAGCAGACAATATAACTGATAATATTAGTGATAAATTATTTAACGACACAAGACGAGTTTGACGACGTTGTTTTGTTATATCATCGAGACCAAGTATGACCAAGATACAACCATTTAACACTTGAATTAATAACGATGCGCTAACTAAAAGAAAAAACAGATTGTTCAAACTATCGTCATGAGATTACTTTTTTATCTTACCTAAAGCGATACCCACCCACCATAATGGTGTTCGGTCCATGTGTCCTAACAACACTTTTAATTGTACAGCATTTGTTATTAGAAGAGCGATTTCAAAACTTCCTTCAGCAATTGTTTTCTTTGTTGCATATCGATTATAGCCTCCACCTGGACAATTTGGGCCAACACAAACATCTTCCACATCCATATTATGTTTTGACATTGATTAAAACTAAAAAATATAATCAATTGATAAAACGATATTGATTCAAAGTTCTTACGATTGAAACAAAGTTAATATAGTGTAACTCTATTAAAAACTCTTTCTAAAAATAGTATTGAACTATAGTTGAGATCAGATATGGAACACAATAATTCAACGATCTTTTATAGCTTTTCTCTTTTATCCATAAGAATTTTAAAAAACATCTGTATACCTTTCCACTCATTCTCATGAGTTTTAGTTATTAGTGCAGTTTTTGTACATGATAGACGGAACGATTGGTCTCGTAGCTCAGTGGAACGAATAACGACGTAAATAGTGAGAATCTTAAGTTCGAATGAGGTCTTAGTCGCCTTATATCATTTTTCTCTTACAATATAACGTGTTCGAATGGCGGGCATAGGTCTGCCTGATTTGTTTGGTTTTGAATGTTTTCATTTGTTAACGTATGAAATATAAATTCTCGTGAATGAGTAATTCCATGGCAAAAGCACCATATATGCATTTAATCGCTCCGGACGAGCTGAAAAGTGCAATGTAACACCTTTTGATAAGATATGAAAATTTGCGAAAACTGGTACCATGATTTTTCTACTGCAATATGTTGACTTCATCCTAGTTAGCTCGTGTGATCACCAATCTAGATGAGAATGTTTTTAGACATATTTCCCAGTGGAGAAATCTCGAAATATGTCACCGAATATGGAAGAATAATTTCGTTGTATGCTTTTCAGATCATTGCATCAATCTTTGTCTCACTACCATGGTTTTTTAAAGCAGTAAAAATGTAACGATATATGCAGACCAACATTCTCTAATCGCTTACTTCATCCATTATTTCTTTACACACTGTGACTCATGTTTTCATACATTCATTTGCTTACTTGGCTTATTTCTAATATTATTCGATACTAGTAATAGTGGATATTTATGATATATAACTATTTCTGTTCTATTTATCTGGAAGTAATGCAATTTAAAAAAGAATTACTTTTTAAAAACAAAATAGTTTTTTATCGAATATTTAAAATTTAACTAAAGTAGAAAGATAAGTATAGAGTTCAGCATCAGTACCGATTTTCTTTTTTATTCACCGGCTCAAATATATTGTGTTCTCTTATATTAGAGATAGAGATTTAGGCAGAGAGAGAAAGAGAGAGAGAGAGAGAGAGTATGTTTGTTCCAGATATAAATAAGCATTTCTTTCTTTCTTCATAAAACAAAAAAAGTTGAAAAGGAACATGCCCGCGTATATGAGAGGATGAAGGCATGTGTGTGAAAATGATGATGAGCAAACAGACAAGGTTGTTGTTTTAGCAAAAAAAGAAATCGAACTTGATACGAAACAAACGCTCAAATTTAAATAAATAAAACGTATAGAGAAGAAAAATGTAAAAAAAGTCACAAATCAACAACGCCGCCTTCTTTTGAAAACATTGAATCCAGGGTATAACATGTTTAGAATATGTTCACGTAGTTTTTGTTGATAAGATTTTGTTTTAATGTTAGATATTTATGTGGTTCAAAGTCACAGACGATTTTATGTATGTCTTAACGAAACAAAAAAAATTCGATGTATAACCATGAAGTCGTCCGATTGAAATAAGCAAGTCGTAACATTGCTGAGAATATTTTGAATAAACAAACAAATCTTTTAGAGCATACCTCTGTCAGTTAGTCCGCTTATTGTGTCGTTTCGAGACGTTAATAATATCTGTATAAATGCATATAAAACATCTCGCGATATACAAATTTGTCTGCGTCAGAGAAGAGGCTATATAGAATAGAAGTGATAGAGTTAAAAATACTATAGTTTTTTGTGAAAACCATAGATTTTTAACTGATGGGAGTATTGATAAAATCTTTATTTTAATTTTATACCAAGTACGTGCCATTATCGTCATTTATTCACCTTCCTTTTCGAATCATTTTTTGGATTTTCTTTAGTACAGAATCCGATATTCTGACGAGGATTTATTTTTAAGGATGTTTTTTTATGCTGAATTCAATTATCAAATTTATATTTATATTTGTAAATTTTTTTCTTCGGAAAGTTCTGAATATCAGTTCCAGACAGGTACTATACAAGCATTCTTTAATTTCTATTAAAGTATATTTAAAAGCCGTTAGTAATTATTAAGGAATTTGCTTAAAAATTATTAAACGTATTATTTTTATATAAATGACAATTACGGATGTTGTTGATAGAATGAGAAAAAAAACATTTTTGTTATGACTACCTATGAAAAGTCTGTTCCAAGACTAGAAAACTTTGCTATAAAACTGAATATCTCATGTGGGTTTTTTATAGAAAGAATATATAGAATAAATAGAATCTTCCTGTTAAGTAGGATTTATTTTGTCATGACCTCATATTCAAGTTGAATGTTAAAAGTGTCCAACTTTTGTATAAGAGAAAAAATGGAAGGAAGAAGCTTTGAAATATAGCTGCATATGGGTAAAAAATGATGATAGTAGAAACAACTTTTCTCAAAACCAGAGCTGGGCAAGTCAGAGGTTTTGCAAGTCACAAGTCAAGTCACTAAAAATATTTTCAATTCAAGTCATCCATTGAAATATTTTTCTCCAAGTCAAGTCAAGTCTGGTTAAAAAATAGGCAGAACATAAAACTTTCTAGCGCCTTTTGGGTGACAGACAGGTTTTATAGTTTCAGAAACTTTGTTTCATGGTAAAAAATGCCTAATTTAAACGAAAATTTCTTACTAGAAATGACTTCACTTGGAAATTTTTCAAGTTCAGTCACAGTCACGAAAAAATATCTCTCAAGTCAAGTCACAATCCAAAAAGTTTTCGACCAAGTCAAGTCTGACTTGACTTGCTCAGCTCTACTCGAAACATAGAATGTAAGTAATGGTGCAGAAATAATCGCATATATTTGCTTATTATATATCTGCAACTTAAACTTTTATTTCTCAATAAAAAATGCAGAATTTAGTTTTCTTCCACACCACATAGTAGATTTTTGAATAAAATTTAAAATCCTCAGCGTTGCATTAAAAATATTCTAAAAGCGACGTTAACAAACTTTCGTTTTTGCAAAATAATTCTGATCGTTTAGTTAAACTTTTTAATGCCTATTTTCAATCAGAAAGAGTTTCAATTTCAAATCGTGTAACACACTGTAACGGTTATATATTAAATTTATACTTTTTCTTTGAGTGAGACAAGATATGAAGCTGGAATAAATTACATCAAAATTAGAGTAATAGTATTATTCTTTTCAAGATTTAAAATCAAAATCCTAAATTGAACTTGAAAACTTTTATGCTCTATTGAATTAGATTATTTTCAATCTTAAACAATATTTTCACTAGCCGACGAAGGAAAGATAATATGATACTCAAAAGATGAGGTAAGGAATCACGCAAAGCACACCAAGAGTCAAATAGTAATAAACTTTTTCGTAGGGAACTATTCTGCATCGGTCCGTTTCTTTTGACGTCGAATAAGATAATTTGACTATTTTATTTATACTGATTATTATAGAATTTATCATTATTTCAACGTCAACAAGAGAAAATGACATTCATATTTATCCATACTAAAACAGTCGAAGTATGCTATGCATTAAAAGTTAGATGGTACTTCGCGTTAATTCCAGCGTTTCCGGCCGGGCCTGGTATAACTTAACCTACCAAAACGAACATTTTTTGAACATCATACTACAGACAATTCATCTGATCAGTTTTAATATCCACATGCAAATATGAATAAATAGTCAATATTCAGTATTCACATAAATATATAGTTTAATTTAGAAGACTTGCGTTGTAAATTTTAGTCTGTCTGAAAAAACTTACTAGCATAACTTTGTTAAATATGAGATGAATTACATTTAACATTTTATTGTATTTATCGTTTCTTTAGAAGTTTTCTGATCTTTATGTATTTCATCAAAACAATTTTTTACTAACACAGCTAATATTGCACATCGTAGTCGTCATAGTTTTTATCTTTTCGACAGAACGTTCTACTAATATGGCTATAATACGATACAGATGGTTATGTTTTTTCTTTTTCACTCTACCAACATTGATACCGCTGACCGACATCTCATTATTTTTTCTCCTTTTCTGTTATGTTCAAACTAATATTACTGATAATAATAAAGACTACACACGTCAAAAGTATGATGAATTAGAGACGCAAAGAAATGAAAGTTATAACATTGTTATGACGTAAAATACCTTTTTATTCAAAGACAACAAAATGTACAGAGATACTCAATCTTAATGTTCGATAAATCAACCAACTTTAACAGTAACTTTTGGACATTATTGGTAGGATAAAAGAATCTGATGCGGACATTATTAAGGATAAAAGAATCTAATGCGTTTTTCAATGGCATATCAACGGTTTATAGCATTTAGGATAATTTCGATCAGTAGACGTGTCTCTCTGGAAGAATTCTGACCAAAGCTACTAAAATGATAGGCACAAATTAAAACAACTTTTGCTCAGCGGTAAACATTCATTTTACTAGTTTAAAATTAGCTCGTCTTGTAAAGAATTTTAAGCACTTTACAACCATGTAGTTGGCAAATGGAGGCCATATGGCCTTAATTAATAGATGGAAAATTACATAAAAAGAAAGAAATAGCGTTTTTTGAAGAAATTTCATGTGAGATAAATGTGCTCACATTATCGAATCTACTACGTAGGGTAAGTTTGATCACCCCTTGGTTTTGTTTTCTTCTCAAATAATTTTATGGTATCAGAAATACTACAAAAATTTTAAGTACTAATCCGAATTATTCTAGTCTATTAATACTCTGGTGTTTTTTTCTTTGACTGAAATGAGTGATCTTAATGAGTGATTTAAAATAATTCTCGTTAGTTTATTAGGTTATAACATACAGCCATAAGAATGTTTAAAAACCAAATAAAAAAGTTCTATTTCATCCAACTGATCAAGCAGAAAACGACTTTCAGACACTTATATATCAAATTTTTATATTATATCTTATATTCTTAAATTATTGAAAATGACAAACAAACTCATGGGCCTTCTGCTATTTATTCTATAAATATTATTCAACTTTTGCCGATGAATCTTAATGTTAACCTTTTTTCTTGATTGTAGAGCTTCAATGCTATATACAACACGAAGAGTTTGCCGATATCAATTAATTGATCGACTGAATTACGTAACTCTGCTATCGGGGTGTGAGTGTGTTACCGTTTTTACTCTTTTTGTTTACGTTACAATATTTGAAAGGAACATTATAGAAATTTGAGAGACATCTTGTTTTGTAGCTAAACGTGTGCTTTTCAAAATCTACCCCGGGATCAATTCAGTTCACTTAATCGTGTTTGCGCTACAATTAAAATGCATTAAGTTGAAAATTAAATCCATTTTTTTTTGGAGTTGCTGGTATTTTAATTATGGCACAAATATGATTGAGTAAACCGAATTGATCCCAGGGTAGATTTTGAAAAGCACACTTTTAGCTACAAAACAAGATGTCTCTCAAATTTTTATAATGTTCCTTTCAAATATTGTAACGTAAACAAAAAGAGTAAAAACGGCAAACACTCTCACCCTGATAGCAGAGTTACGCAATTCAGCCGTGATGAACTTGCAAAATTCCTGTCAAATTAAAGAAAATTTCCTATTTGTATCGAGTTCTTCTCATTTTGATCGTTATGCTTGTTGAAGTTTTATGACTTAGCATCGAAAAACATAAATTTATGCTGGTCATTATTGAAGATTTCAACCATGTTGTTGTCCGTGGTGCGTATTAGTTTGACTATGATGAGCTGTACATCTTGCACATAAATATTTACCGTCTTTTGATTTTGAAAAATGATTTGTACCGATCTCTGTTTTACATTGAGCACACATAAAACAACGACCATGAAATGATTTTCCTTCAAATCCATCTAAAACATATAATAGAGCATGATGGTTAATTTAACTGTACTCAAAATTATGTTTAGTGAAAAAATTAGAATAACAACGTACATGATTGTCCATCTAATATTTTTTCTTTACATTCAGCACATTCTGGCGAATTATTATAATGACATTGTTCACACAAAAGATTCGTCTTATTATCAGATTGCATTTTATATTCTTGATGATAAAATTTTCTCTGACATATTGATTTTCCACATTGTGTACATGTGAGACAATCTGGATGAAAATAATCTTCTTTAAATTCACTCACTTGCGTACCAGATGTAAAACCTTTATGACAATTTTTACATTTTTTTTCTAATATTTCACGTCCGGCAGCTTTTCTACCAGTGTCGAGTTTATCATAACATGCACGACAATACCATTTATTACCATCCGGATAAACGGGTTCATCTTTCATGAGTTTATTACACACTTTTTCTTTATCGTTTCCCCAACAGGTAAAACAAGATTCATGATATTTTTTATCATTCCACATAACTGACGATGCTTCAATGGCTTGTGTACAACGATCACATTTCGGTGCAATTTTTTTATAACATGTTTCACAGTAGCGAATAGAATCATCAAATTTTAATGGAACATCTGTTGGTTTATTTGACGGTTTTGATTTGTAGAAAAAACCACCCGCTAATGTTTTACCACAATCCGAACAATTGAAACAATGTGGATGATATACTTTTCCATCGTCAGCGGTCATAACATTCAATATTTTTTCGTTACATTTATTACAGCTGAAACAGAAACAGTGCCGGAAAATATCCTCTTTTTGATTATCTTCAATTGGAGAGCTAAACACGAATCCCTGAAGTAATTTCAATAGCTGGAAGGCTTTTCTACCAGAAAAATAATTCCATTGATCTTTGACCACCATTACAATGTTGTTTTAAAAGTATTTAGAGAACATTTTATTACTCAGAATTTAATGCTCTTTCGAATAAGATAGGTTTCCAAGTTTGGGGTGAAGGCCGTGTTCATAGTGGTCGAAATCCCATGGAAATACCCAGAAGCAGTAAAACAAAAGCTTCATCGAAAATGTTGAAAAATGAGTTTCTGAGAAATTCAAACCTTCGAGAACCCGCTGGAATCGTAGTTTTTTTTTCGATAACTCATTTGTGTATGAAAAACATTTTTGAGAGGCCGTTGATTGCATATTCAGCTCATCACTTCAAGTATTTGTAAAAACAAAACCTTTTAGCTGCGCCTCTTAAGGATTTTTTATTATTAGTAGCCATCATTTTGTGATGGATCTCACAATCATTTATTATCTTTGTTATCTTATAATCACCATGACTTACATTACATTTCCATCAGGTTGTGTTGTAGACATCGTTGTTGTGGATTTTTGTACTTCAGGCATTTTGTTGTTGTTTAAATAATAAAAATTTGAAATTGTATAGGAAGAATTTTGGAAAATAACTTAAAATTAATAATCATGATTAAGATTCGATCAGTACTAACATAGTTTAGTATCAAAATGGCGCTGAGATATGATGGATGCCGAATTGACTTATGTAGACTTGGCGACAAGCATTTAAAACTGTTTCCAATTTTTGTTCTGTGTGAGAGAAAAACAACATGAAACGAATCGTTTGTGCTTAATTGCATTATACTATAGGTTGTCAGAGGCCTTAATTTTGGGCCCCGAAAATAAAAGTTTTTCGTTTTCTCCCAGTGGAACTAAAAAATTATTTTTGTTTTTTTGGCCACGTAGCGAAAAATTTTTTTTCTTACAATTCCCGAAAAAATATTTTACATCGGCCCCCTCCCAAGAGTTCGCTCCCTATTCAGGCCCCTGTAGTTTGTATATAGCATACAACGGTTGGGGCCATAAACAAATTGCCCACTTCTCCCCTTATTGTTCTTCTACTCCAATGTGTACTCAAAATCTTATTACTGACTCAACAAAGAGAGAATTTCATTTTCTACAAAACAACATAGTTGGTTTAGAATCTCATTCGAATTCCTAGAATAACGCAAAAAAATACGAAAGCTATAATCTTCGAAACTGCTTAATCCTCTAAAACCAGAAAATTTTCTCGAAAAATCGATTTTTTGAGTTCTCCGATCGATCTTTTGAGCCAATCGGTTTGTTTCAAAAATCAGAGCTTTCGTATTTTTTAATTGCAACCAGATTCTAAACCAAATATGTTGTTTTGTAGAAAATGAAATTCTCTCTTTGTTGAGTCAATAATAAGATCCTGAACGTAAAAATAAGGGAAGAAGTGGATAATTTATTTATGGCCTTACTTCTTAGTTTTTTTTAATTCTAACCGTAATCATCAACTCTTGTATAGAACATATCGCGTCTCATTAGGTTTAATCCAATATTTATAGTAGTACTCTCCGTGAGTCATGTCAAGTTACGAAGTTTATCAATCGTTACACCTTAGTTAAAATGTTTGAAAATATTCGAATAGTCAGCAAGAATCCTATTTCTTGAATATTATCAGATGAATCCATAATCTAATAATATAATATGAATGAATTCAAAATACAAATATCAAATTCTCGCCGACGTTGTATTGTAGTAGAAGAAGAGAACTGTATGAACTAAGACAACTGGAGATACCCATGTATAGGCATGCACCAGTTTTTAACTGGTGTTGGGGCATCCAGGAGAATTGCAATACATCAGTTATCACGAATCGCTCAGAGCCATGAAACATCTCATTTTGTAGGAAAATGTTTGCTCTACAAAATGCA